AAGGAGAGCTTGTCTGAAGACCAACAACAGAGGGCTGGGGAGATAGCTCAGTGGAATAAATGCTTGCCTGGCAAGCACAAGGTCCTGAGTTGGATCCCTGGTACCACCAAATGAAAAAATCTTTCAAAACCAACAACAACAAAAGCGCTCCCTAGTTAGTGTGCCAACAAAAGAGCACCACTTTAAATTTCTAAAATACCTGTCTTCCTAGAGGATAATTGAGAGCCATTAGGTTAGATATTTAATACAATGGAATATTACTCATCCATTAAAAAAGACAAGGAAGGAAGCTTAGTGCACAAAATCCTGAGTTCATTTCCCAGTACTGAAAAAAAAAAAAATAAGAATGACCATGTAAATAAATGTGTACTGCCATGCAAAGATGCTCACAGTATATCAGCAAGTGGGAAAAACAGGCTAGAAAACATGTATGGTATCCCACTTTTGTTAAATATATAGACATAAATAGAACAAATGGTTGAATATTTTTCAAAATAATAATGGAAGATTTCATACATTTAGCATCTAAACTTAAGAACTACAGATTGGATTTTTTTTTTTTTTTGCGGAACTGGGGATTGAACTCAGGCCCTTGCGCTTGCCACGGAAGCGTTTATTCTACTGAGCCATCTCCCTGGCCCCTGATTGGATTATTTTTATAAAATATTCTTTTTTAATTTAAATTTTTTATATTTTTCTTTTTTTTAGGTTAAGAATAGGACAATTTATTAGAGAAAAGGAATGGGGAGTAGGAATAGCCTCTGAGAGAGGTGGGGTCCCAAATGGGTTACTCTTTTTTTTTTTCCTGTTTTTTTGAGTCAGTGTCTCATTGTAGTTCAAACTGGCATTAAACTTGGAGCAGTTCTCCTTAGCCTCCTGAGTGCTGGGATTACGGGTGTGTACTCCTGTGCCTGGCAGTCATTGCTTCTTCTTCTTCTTTTTTTTTTTTTTTTTTTTTTTTTGTGGAACGGGATATTGAACTCAGGCCCTTGCACCTGCCAGGCAAGCGCTTATTCCACTGAGCCGTCTCCTGGCCCCTAATTGCTTCTTTTGACATACGTTTTTTTTAAAAATTACTTTGGTCAGTGGCTAGTGCTTTTTTCTTTTAAAGAAAAGAAAAGCAAGCTTGAACATTAAAAGAACAGAGCTGGGCGCACGATACGTGCCTGCAGTCCTGCTGCTTGGGAGGCTGAGGCATGAGCATTGCTTGAACCCAGTCGTTCAAGACCAGCCTGGGCAACATCAGGAGACTGTTTCTTAAAATCCCAAAACAGGATTGGGACGATACAGAGAAGATTAGCATGGGCCTTGTACAAGGATGACACACAGGGGCCAGGGAGATGGCTCAGTAGGATAAGCGCTTCCCTGGCAAGCGCAAGGGCCTGAGTTCAATCCCCGGTTCTGCCAAAAAAAAAAAGGATGACACACAAATTTGTGAAGCATTCCATATTTTTGTACTGCTGATTACTCCTGGTCTATTGAACAGTTAATACTTCAATTTAAAAAAAATTTTTTTGACCAATTCTGCATACTTACATCTGGTAACCTAAACAACTAATTTGAAGACTTCAATGTGCAATACATAACAACCACTGTTGAATTCGTATCATCTTGTTTAGTGAAATTCTGTATCATTTCTTTTTTTTTTTTTTAATTTATGTATTTGGTGCAGGATCTCACTGTGCAGCTGGAACTCATAGTGATCCTCCTGCTTTCAGCCTCCCCAGTACTGGGATTACAGCTGTGCATCACCCTGCCT